ATTACACTTTTCAATAATACAAAATACAGTAGAATAGTTATTTTGCACATTACACTTCTGCATTCTGCATTTTGAAGAATAGAACCTTGCATAGTAGAACATATACCTTATATGGGATCTACGACGTACGTTATTTGCATACGGAAAAAAATCCGGACTATGACGGAAATTAATGATTTACGCGATAAAGTCATAAGGCCGAGGTCATTAGAAGGGGACAGTACTCGATTTTGTTAGTCTTCAACGTCCAGGCTCTATAATGTAATCAGTTCGACGCTTAGAGTATTCTGAAAGAATATAGTCTGCACACTGATCAGCTGTGAATTTTCGCTAGGCCGCTACAATCACTGATAAGGATGACATCGATGCGACTTAACAAGCCAGAAATATTAACTTTTTTCCTGCGACAAATTAAATTCTGAAACATTTTTTTTATTAATTCGAAAAATAAATAAAGGCGTTTAACGTATTTGTAGGTAAAAAATATTTCCTATTAAGTGTAAATGGGTATTAAAATGACTAAAAGGCAGCATTCCGCCCGAAGCATTAACGTCTTATGTAAACAATGCACGCGCCATTCAGTCAATGATTGACCCCGCGTGCTGTGACGGCACGTGTTAAGGCAGTCATCTTTGACAGAGATATTACTACTTGTAATTCTCTGTGAAACAGATTGAATAGTCTGGTTTAACGAGACTATTTTTATTTGTTCTCATCGAAAAAAACCCAGGTATTTCAAGTGAATCAATTTCTTGTTAAAAATTAAATTGAATATCTTATTTAATTGACACGTCTCTAAAACCCTCTGGGTAAGGTTAAAGAATCTTATAGTAACCGAGCGGAATCTCTCACCCGTATTCCAGCGCCCTGATTCGAAATGAAGTTAGCACACATATTCCTAGCGCCAATAAAAACCTAGATATAATTATCACGAAAATAATTGTTACCTTTATATTGGAAAATAACATTTTAAGACATATTAATGCAAAGTATATAATAATATATATAATATATAATAATATGTAATAGACCCCCCCCCCCCCCCAAAGAAAATTTGCTGAAATAAAGATCTTGGAGCCACCAAACCTAGTTTAGAAGTTATTGTGTGCGCAGTGAGCCTACCCTAACTCGATTCCCCACATATTTAGTACGTTTACGGTAATATATCTCCAAAAGCCAGCATAGAAGGCTTCTGGATTTTTGTATTCTAGTAGTTTATTCATCCCTTGACTCTGTGAAATACAAAACATGTTGCCACCAAAGCTGGTTCGGGTGCTTTTTGATGAAACATGGGCGTACTCCTTGTTTATTGTTCCCACGAACCCCGCCTCGAATCCGGTGCTGGGAACTTTTCGGTGGTATAACTCGATACCCCAACATAGAAAGTTAATGAAATTTGGCATCTTCATACCTTATGCATCTGTCGATTTGGTGAAATAAAAATCTTGGAGCCACGAAAGCTAGTTTAGAAGTCATTGCGTGCGCAGTGAGCCTACCCTAACCCGATTCCCCCACACATTTAGTACGTTTACGGTAATATATCTCGAAAAGCCAACATAGGAGGCTTCTGAAATTGTGCAGTCTAGTAGTTTATTCACCCCTTGATTCTGTGAAACAAAAAACATTTTGCCACTAAAGCAGGTTTGGGTGCTTTTTGATGCAGCGTGGGCGTACCCCTTGTTTATTGTACCCACGAACCTCGCCTCGAATCCTGATGCTAGGAACTTTTCGGTGGTATAACTCGATACGCCAACATAGAAAGTTAAGGAAATTTGGCATGTTCACACCTTATGCATCTGTCGATTTAGTGAAATAAAGATCTTGGAGCCACCAAAGCTAATTTAGAAGTTATTGCGTGCGCAGCGAGCCTACCCTATCCCGATTCCCTCACATATTTAGTACGTTTACGGTAATATATCTCTAAAAGCCAGCATAGGAGGCTTCTGGATTTTTGTATTCTAGTAGTTATTCATCCCTTGACTCTGTGAAATACAAAACATTTTGCGGCCAAAGCCAGTTTGGAGTGATTTTTGGTGCCGTGTGGACGTACCCCTTGTTTATTGCACCCGCGAACCCCGCCTCGAATCCAGGTGCTGGGAACTTTGCGGTGGTATAACTCGATACGCTAACATAGAAAGTAAATGAAAATTGGCCTGTTCATATCTTATCCATCTGTTGATTTGGTGAAATAAAGATCTTGGAGCCACCAAAGCTATTTTATAAGTTATTGCGTGCGCGATGAGCCTACCCTTATCCGATCCCCCCATGGTTTTAGTATGTTTATGGTGATATTTCTCTAAAAGCATGCATAGAAAGCTTCTGGAAATTTGTATTCTAGTAGTTTATTCATCCCTTGAATCCATGAAACAAAAAAACATTTTGCCACCAAAGCTGGTTTCGGTGCGTTTTGATGCAGCGTGGACGTACCCCTTTTCGCGTGCTCAGTTAGCCTAGTGTGCGATATTTTAGTATGTTTACGGTAATAGTATATATTTTTTTTCATGATGGGGGAGGGGGTCTATTACATATATACTTTGCATTAATATGTCGTTTTCTAATATAAAGGTAACAATTATTTTCGTGATAATTATATCTAGGTTTTTATTGGCGCTAGGAATATGTGTGCTAACTTCATTTCGTATCCAGGTGACCCGATGGCTTTATCGCGTAAATCATTAATTTCCGTCATAGATCCCATATAAGGTATATGTTCTACTATGCAAGGTTCTATTATGCATTTGTCTATTATGCAAAATGCAAGTCCGTTCATTTGACACTTTCCTCCCTGGGGTCGGATAGACTAGTGATCAGGCGACAGACGGTATCTGATCAGCTCTATTTATCTCTGCCATCGGTGACTAAATACTGTCAGACAGCATTTCCGACAGTCTATTTTTCTAAATTTTCTGGGGGAGATCCCGCATACCCTCCTTATGGATTCCCTACTTTGGCGCTCTTGAGTGGGCTTCGTCGAGGTTCGGTCGTTTGACACTTTATCTCAACGATCAGTGCCTAAATTACTGCCAGGCTGCATTTCCGGCAGCCTGTTTTTTCTAAAATGTCTGGGGGAGGCCCCCCTCCCGTAGTTAAAGCTCGTGCCTTTGCCCCCTTAACCTTGGACTTTGCCCCTCCAAGCACCGGCGGCTGGCGCCGCAACTGGACAGACCTTGTGATACAGCGTGCACATGCTAACCAAGCGGCCATCCACCCCACCCCCCTCTTGTGAAGAGTTAAATTTAAAGATAGAATGGGCGGAAGCATCATATTACGAGCAACTTGGTTCAATGTTCTGGAATTAAATTCTTTCACCTTGAAAGATATGCATGTATGTCAATTAAGTACACAAGAATTTTAGGCTACCAGACATGTCCCAAATAAGTATAGGCTAGGCCAATAATGTTATTTTGACCTATCACTAGAGCTGAAACATTTGATTCCGTCACGATTCTGATCACACCATATTGATTTTTCAGTCATATTTTAGAGAGCCGAAAAAAACTCCCCTTAATCAACAAATTGAAAAAATCGACCTCTATAAAAAGCTCTCCCAGTTTTGATAAGAAGAGTGATTTAATAATTAAGGAGAGTGATCTGATTTAGTTGTGTGTATGGGAAATGGTTTTGAAGATCAATAACTGCATATTAGGGGGTCATTCCTGGTTTCATAAATGATAATACCCCACCACCCATGACTTTGTAAAGGAGATCGATTTTCAATTTTAAGGGGAGGGAGAAAAACCTTCCCTCGATCGATATTCAGGTGAGTGGCAGGCGCTCAAGAGTGATCGCTCTCCTTAAAAAAAAAAAACAATGACTGATTTTTGGGACTGGCAGAAATGTGACTGCACTCAATTCTCTGAGAAATTGCAATTCCATGAATTTGTAGCAGTCCGGACTGACAGTCAAGAGGTCCTTGTCAGTGCTGGAGCCCAGGTAAACAAGAGCTAAGGGGCCTCAGGCTAAGGTGTATAGTCTTTTTGACAGCCTTTTTTACACACCCTGTAGTATATTAACTATCTGTCATTCTCCTCTCTTTGTTGAATTGTATGTTGGGGAGGGGGGGGGGGGCACCCGGCACAGTCTAGAGTAGGTATTTTAGAGCTAAGATAAGATAAGATTTTATTGTATTATTGCATCAACCAAGGACAGCATACACAATGGTCGGCAAATAATTTTTTTTCGGAGGGGGGGGGGGGCAATCCCCGCTGGCTACAGGCCTGGCATGGTGAGAGACTCCTGTGGAATAGCCTTGGGTCTTTCTCCATCTAAATTCAGCACTGTATCCTCTCTACTCTGACAGTTGGTTTAGTTAAATCTGTGACATAATTTAATTGTTGTAGAGTGCTATGCAAAAGTCCGTTTTTGAATGAGGGATCCAGGGCCATCATCATCATATCAACAACTGCCCAAGAGTTCAGAGTGGGTTCCCGCAAGTGTGGTAAAAAGAAAGGAATGAAATGGGGTTTAACATCCTACTTTTCTGCACACACAGGGCTAATGAAGATTGGCATATGCCATACAGTGTGCTATGAGGGAAATTTTGCCCAGGCAGCGACACTATCGCCTACTCTTATATCGAATTCCAACTGCCAAGGGATCTTTTACGTGCATTCCAATGTATACACAGGACCTCAGTTTTTCGTATCATCCGAAGGACTAGACAGCTTTCCTTGTCAGGCCCTCCATTCTGCACCACTGACATGGGGAAACCACGTCGGAAAATCCAGATGAACTTTCTCGGCCAATGCAGGGATCAAACACCCGACCTCCAGGCTAGCGAGCCAGCGTCTTAACCACCTAGCGACCCCCATCCAAATGACTAGACACTTTCTTGTCAGACCCACAGTCCTGCACAACTGACAAGAGGAAACCATGCTGAAAAATCCAGAAGATCTTCCTTGCCTTCTTGGTCAACACCAGGCGAAACCTCCTGGTTAGAGAGTCCGCTTCTTACTCATTGAGTAATAGCTCCTCGCTCTTAAAACAAATAAGAAATGGCAGGTTTTTAAAATATTTAATAATAAGCATACATTACAAGTAGAACAATACTAAACACAACAGCTTCACTATAACTAGGCTAGCCAATTAGTTACTTAACCTATGTAATATACAGTTATCGTATTTCATGGCATTTTCAGTCGGTGCTAACAGGTAAGTATATATATGACGGAAACCAGAATTTCCAGGTCCTAGTATAATACAGAAAACTCAATAACTACACAATGTATCAACATAGTTACCTGTATAGAGTTATAGTAATAACTATTTTACAGTAACAACTATATAGGGTAGTGATATAGTTCACTACATTACAGTAATAACTACACACTGGAGTGATATAGTTAACTACATTACAGTAATAACTACACACTGCAGTTTTATAGTTAACTACATTACAGTATTAACTAAACACTGTAAATCTTCAGAATATTTTTGGATTGATTCAAATTTACTACCAGCGACCGGAGTAAAATACGTGGGGAAATTAAATAGACTGCTTTTATTTCCTGAACGAAAATGGGTCCTGAGCCCTTTTTAAGCCATGCAGGATTATGTGAGGACCAGAGTATTGTTTTATATGAATGGAGCATAACTTGGAGGAATACTGAACAATGTGAATGAAATAATCAAATACTGGTTTACAAATATATACAAAAACAAAATATATTTCAGATGAATCAAATATAACATCTAAAACTTAATATACAATAAAATATCTTCTAAATATCCATAATATTTACGTATACCATTCTATTACAAAAATGCAGATAGACCCAAACATGGCTATTCTTGTCATAACTTCAAACATTCTTAACTTCACTTATTGACTGAAATTTTTAATATTAATTTTTCTTCATCTATTATAGAATGATTCATTCAGAATAAAGTCGTTTGACTGAAGTTTTCTATAATCATTTTAAATTATTTATTATAGCAAGAACGGACATTTCTTTCTCTAAATCTTGCATGATATTTCTTTATGATATGTACATGTACACCAACTTGAACTTCCGCAACTATTAAAAGTTTTCTTCCAATTATTGAAAGAGATTTGAGTGGCTTTTGATTTATAAGACCATGAAGAACGAACAATTTAACTGATTTGGATTTTATACTAAAATATATATATATATATACACCTGTATCCACATTTTCACCTATATAATATTAATTAATTTTCATCTTTCATCAAATGTAATTTAGTTAGTTGGTTAGAACGGCCTGTTACTCATTTATTTATCTTTATTAATTTACATTGTTGAATTGAACTTTCACGGTCATGAAACAAGTACCATAACATATTCTTGAAATATCACAAGTAACATAATTATATATGAAGCAATTTTATATTACCTTTTAGCTTGTTTTTGTATCATATTTTTAAAACTGTAATGTATTATATGATATTTTCTTAGATGATCATATGAGTTGATATATGAAACGCATAATGAATGAGTCTGCCTGGGTCTGTATGTATATTCCACAATCTCATTTCACACAGAACATGTTGGAACTTAAACACACTTAAAAAAAACAAACTTAATGTTTACTTTACTAACACATTGTGAAACAAGCTCCTGAAGATTAAGAAATAGTCAATGAATTATTGACTAGGTAACAAATAAATTTAATTTTTGATTCAGCTAGCAACTATAAAACCCAAAGAGGCAAGCATTCATCTAAACATCGATACAATATTTTTCATACACAAACACTGATTTATGTACACAGAAAAAAGATAATTTAATAATGAATGATAAAAGATGCAAAGGAAATGTGGTTTAACGTCATACTGTTTTGCTCTGACTGGGCTAATGAAGAGTAAGACAGGCATACGCCATACAGTGTGCTATGAGGGAAATTTTGCCCGGGCTACGACCTACTCCTATATCAAATTCCAACTGTCAAGGGATCTTTCATATGCTTGCAAATGTGTACAATTGACCTTGCTTTTTAGTCCCATCCGAATGACTAGACAGCTGCCCTTGTTGGGCCTTCGTCTTGCACCAGTGACAAGTGGAAAACACACCAGAAAATACAGATGAACTTTCTCAGCCAACTCCAGCAGCGAACCCAAAACATCCAGGTTAGCGAGTCAGCATCTTACTCACTGAGCCACTGCGGGTCCGATGATAAAATATTCTTAAAATGTAAATATAAAACAAATGAAATAAACACAAATTCTTTTTTTTAAAAAAAACAAATTGGTCTAAAAACACAAATATGACTTGCGGTTTTTATTACCTAGACCGAACAGTTAAACCAACCTAATCGTCATTTGTATTTTTCGGACAATATATAATGTACTCAAATTAAGACAATCAAATATTAACAATTGACAATCTCCTAGCTTGGATCCTATGGGTTTAAAATGAGGTCCATTACCATTAAAAAAGACTTGGGTGAAGATTATATTTGACTATATTCTGTATATATACTGATGTCCAAAAGAAAGTATACACTGTGCATTTTGTCCTGCTTCAAACAAAGTCATTTTTCCAGTGTATGCGGTATTTGGGTACAATTTCCATTTGTTTTGCCTTTTATTTGCTTAGAAATATTGAGTTTGGAAGCACGAGACATGTTCAGTGTAGTTTTGTCACATTTTTTTGATTTAAACAAAACTTAGTCATATTTTTAGTGTGTATACTTTCTTTTGGCATTAGTATATCATCATCATCATCAGCAGTTGGTGTGTCTGATCTTGACAAAATTTCAATTCATCATATCTTTGTAAATACTGAACGGAATTGGTATCGTAGTTTGTAAATTGATTCTTCAATCCCTCAAACTATGATCGAAGACTTTAAAAGATAACGTTATTTTTATCTCGATCAATCTGATTAAAGTACAGATCTATATTTCGTTTTTTTTTTTATAATTTCGATGGCCTACACTACATGAAGATCTGACTAGATGTAATGGAAGGTCACGTCAGGGGTTGTACAACTGGCTTTTGACCATATGACGTCAGACATTAATTAATCAATCAACGTCGATGTTTCTAGGGGTTTACCCAAAGTTCCGTGCACCTCACCCCTAAGAACTCACCGTAACATTGGCTAATCCCTTAACTCATCCAGAACTCGGATTATATCACAACTTTTCCAGTTTTTAGTGTAGTAAAGGCAAGTAAAACAAAATTTTGAACTATAAAAAAACGAAACGAAATAGAGAGAGAGAAAAATGGGGTTTAGCGTCCGTTTGACACAAATTAGGTAATTTCGGGACTAACATATGGTTCAACTTTATTTCCATAATTCGCTTGCGTGTAGGGGTCTTTAGCAGTGGAAGGAAACCGGAGGGCCCGGAGAAAACCCACAAGCTTAGACAGCCAACCCTACTCCTTGTTACGTACAACTGGGGAATCGAAACCACGCCAGTTGTCTCAATGACAGACTTTATGGTACAGAGAGAGAGAAAAATGGGGTTTAGCGTCCGTTTGACACAAATTAGGTAATTTCGGGACTAACATATGGTTCAACTTTATTTCCATAATTCGCTTGCGTCTAGGGGTCTTTAGCAGTGGAAGGAAACCGGAGGGCCCAGAGAAAACCCACGAGCTTAGACAGCCAACCCTACTCCTTTTTACATACAACTGGGGAATCGAAACCACGCCAGTTGTCTCAATGACAGACTTTATGGTACAGCGCGCATGTGCTAACCATTCAGCCATCCAAGCACCCTGAAACGAAATAGGATCTGTGCTTTAATCAGATTGAAAACCTAGGATAATCACATCTTAATTTTCCATAATAAACAGGAGATTTGATATGAATAAATTAAAAACATGACCTATGAAAAATAACGCTCTAATTAATGACATAATTATTCAGTATTTGAACAATATTTAATATTTACATCAGCATCTCGCGTTTCATTATTTACAAATATATACAAAATGGTGAACTGATGGCAGAGAGTAGATGTGTTCAGGTAGCACTTGTGAGAATTTACAAATTGTTGAGTGCAAATCTTCTTGCGCGCTTAGGAGGCGTTGGACCACGATCAAAATCATCAGGCTGCCTTCCATCTGGATGAAAAGGTGGCGGGAAATCTGGAAATAAAATAAGGTTGTATAATTAATGGTAGTTTATTGGGGGTTAAGAGAGAGGAGGGGGGGGGGGGGGAGGGGGGTAACATCCACTCGACACAAACTGGGTTTTTTCGGGACTAACATGGTTCAATTTAAGGAGGAAACTGGAGGACCAGGAGAAAACCCAATGAAATAAAATGAAAGAGGGGTTTATTGTCTTACACCTACTGGGCTAATGAAGACGGACATACACCATACAGTGTGTTATGAGGTAAACTTTGACTGGACAGCGTATTCCAACTGTCAAGGGTACTTTTATTTGTGTCCACAGGAATGTACTTAGGTTTTCATATTTATGGTAAATGGACAACTAGGGACAAACACAAACAGTTAAGTTTAAAAGGCCAATCAAGTAAAGAGAGAGAGAGAAAGAGAGAAAGAGAGAGAGAGATATATATATTAACCTCCACTTGACACAAACTAGGTTATTTTGGTTTAATTTAAATCCTATAATTTGCTTGCTTGCGCATAGGGGTATTTAGCTGTTTGAGGACCCAGAGAAAACCCATGAGGTTGGATAGGCGATCCTATTCCTTGTCATGTACAAGTGGGAAATCGAAACCACGCCACTTGACTCAATGGCAGACCTTATGATATAAACCGCATGCATTAAACCATTCCAATTTACACAATAGAAAGAATGAACAAGATGATGTTTTATGGCACTTCAGCAACTACTGGTGTATACCGTGCCCACCCCTTTGGCCACCCAAACCCCCCACAATAAAATGAATGAACAAGATGATGTTTTATGGCACTTCAGCACCTACCGGGGTATACCGTACCCAAACCCCCTCACAACAGAATGAATGAATAAAATGATGTTTAATGGCACTTCAGCACCTACAGGGCTATACCATACCAACCAACCCATTATATAATACATTTACTTACTAAATATAATCACAAGAGATATACATAGATATAAACAATTATCACAGACTACGAAATAAAATAAAAAACATATCACATCATTACATGTATAGATAAAGAAATGAAATAAAATTGGGTTTAACATCCATACTGTTCTGCTCCGAACTGGGCTAAAGAAGACGGGCATACGCCATACAGTGTACTATGAGGGAAATCACGGTCTACTTTAATACCGAATTCCAACTGCCAATGAGTACACTGGACCTCGGTTTTTCGATGAGGGAAATTTTGCCCGGACAGCGGCACTACGGCCTACTCTTATATCGAATTCCAACTGCCAATGAGTACATGGGACCTTGGTTTTTGGGATCATCGGAATGACTTGACAGCTGTCCTTGTCAGGCCCTCCGTCCTGCATCACTGACATGGGGGAACCACGCCGGAAAATCTGGGTGAACTTTCTCGGTCAATGCAGGGATCGAACACCCGACTTCCAGGCTAGCGAGCCAGCGTATAGATAACGGAAGATTATATATACAATTAAAATTTTCTATAAAACCCCCCCCCAACAACATTGGTCCTGTTCACCTGTATAATAGAAATGCCAGATTAATGACCACACCATGGGATCAGTAGGGCAACTAACTGAATCCGAATTTTATTTAGTCTGGACCATAGTATAAAAAAATTTAACAATGCTATTGTGGCAGTGTTGGAGTAGTTCCAAGATGGCAGCTGTCGATGAAACGCAAGTGTAGAATATTTCAAAAGAATCTATTTTTATTTAGTATATGATTTTATGAAGCTTAAAAGAATTTTACATGTTGCTACTTCTATGAGCATATATATTATGTCTGAATCTATGCAAGTCTAAAAATTACGCATTATTTCAAAATTTGTGCTTTGCAAAAAGTAAAGTCAAATTATAAGGAATTTTGTCGTCTCTAAAAATTTGAGTCGCTCAAGTTTTAATTTCATGAAAATATTATTTGTTTATTAACCTGTATAACATCATATAGAATGGCTATTCATCCTCCATGGAGAGATTTATAGACCTTCCATAAGGTTAAGTGGGGTTTTTTTTGCAGAGTTATGGTCGAGGTCTGAAGCAGAGTAAAATGACAACAGCATGTCAATGGGGGCAGCCATTTTTGAACATATGATGGTCCGGACCATCTGCGTTCGGTTTTTAGTTACGTCCACTAGTCGTTAAAAAAATTATAACCGAAGGTCGGCCAGGATGTACTCATGTCTCCATAAATAAAGAACCACCTATTTCTCCATTTAAACTAACTTATCATGTGCATTAAACCAGCTTCTTTTTTATTTGAAATCCTTCCTGTCTTTAAAGAAATGAGCCCAGCCCCTCCCCCCCAAGTTGGCTTATTGCTCATCAGTTATAATATATTGATTGATTGATAATAAACTTCAAAGTTCTTGTAAATTAAACATACATTATTGCTTGCAGGTCTTTCATTAGGCCTGAAATGTTATCTAAATTATTAATTAGACACTAATTAACTTATCCAGACCATAATAAACTCTCGATGTCATCGCTAGCCTGGGATGTTTATTGGATTAGGTTCCGATTTGCTGTTCAACTTCCATTATGATTTAATCATGAAATGGATAATCGAGACTGTGTTTTTTATCGTACTGACTTTAGTATCGAGGCTAGGCCGAAAATTCAATCGCTAAAATCTCTGTAAACATTATAAATAGGCACCACACGAATATTTTACCTTCCTAATTTAGTTAAAATCTTGATATTATTGACAAATGAACCAAAGAAATTTATAAATGAAAATATATCGAACAAAAAGAGCGAAGACATCATTTAACATATATAATGTTTAGTTAAAATTGTTAGTAGTCAGGCAGAAGTCATTAAATATAATTTTAACACAGAGATCATTGCTACGATAGCTGAGTAATACAGGTTTCCTGAATCAGAAGTGACGAACGCCAAAGGAAAACACGAGTCATCTCACTATATAACTGACTGATGTGACGAGTGATAACGGATATACGGGCGAATTTCTGCTCCCTAATAATTCCTTTGAAGACCAAAAGTTGTTGTGTGAGATTGTGAGAGGATATTTAACAATTCATAATTGACTGCCACTAGATAAGTGAACACGAAAGAAAAATGGAAAAAAGTCCGTGCATTACCATGTTTTTATAAGGTATAGAATGAATATAAACAAGGGAATGTACGGACTATTTCTATTTTTCTCGTGTTCTCTTACCTAATGCCATTCAATTACTTTATTGAATTGTCATGTATCCTCTTACAGTCCCATATAACAACTTTTGGTCTTCGAAGGAATTATTAGTGAGCAGAAATTTGGCCGTGTATCTGTTATCGCTCGTCACATCAGTCAGTTATATAGAGAGATGACCCATGTTTTCCTTTGGCGTTCATCGCTTCCGATTCTGGAAACCTGTATTACTAGCAATTATCTCTGTGTTAAAATTATATTTGGAATGTGTTTAACCAGCTCTATCACATATGTGATAATAACTGGCACCAATATTGTCCTTTAAGTCACAGAGGTGTTAAAACTGTGACTATTGAATGATATACACCCCCAGGCCTGGAAATAACGGTTTTGGATGTACCTGACAAAATGTCAGGCACTAATGAAATTGTGCCTGACATTTTCAACTTAGTGCCGGACACGTATTAATAATATCAATAAAAAAGACAAATCAGTGTTGGACAAAATGACAGGCACCAGGGGTTTTGTGCCTGACGAAGCCTGAATCTGTGCCTGACATTGTGACAGGTACACACCACTATTGTCCAGGTTTGTGTATTCAATAGTGATGGGTGTTATAAATAGTCATGCTTTTACACCAGTAGTGACATCTTTTACAGCTATATAGTTACACGCCTGCTAATTAATGAATACTGTAAAAAATTTTAAGCAATATCTATAATGTACTAAACATTAGTTTAGAAAAATGATCACTTGTGTATGATTTAATGACAAGAAATTTTATTACTAAATGGACTAAGTTCATTAGTCATTGGTATCAGGTTAACAGTGAATCAATCAGAAGATTCAGCAGAAGAATTCGAAAAAAGTCTGAAACAGTTCAAAAGTTTAAATTTTATCCTTTCAGATGACAACATCACAACCCAACGTAGCAAAGCCTCTTCAGTGGATCAAATTTGTTTTAGAAAAGGCAAAAATGTTTAAATTTTCCACTAGGGTCCAATAGGGTCAAACCACTGTATTTGAATAAATCTGATTAAGTACCACCCAAGCACCCATCTTGAAAAGAGGTTTGAAAAGGAAATCAAAATGTGATCTGCTGCAGCCCTTCTCGATGGTGATGAGCACTTTCTGTTTAATACATCTGACTGATCACCATCAGACCAACTTGTTTAGCAAGGTCGGTCGAATTCCATGAAGCAATTTAGAACAGATGGGTGATGGACTAAGCGTATAGTATAAGTTCTTTGGCCTTAAGAGTCATAATGTCTAAGTCAGTTTCATTTAAGAAATGTGTAACATTTCATGTAACAAACTAAACAAAGTCCATGTACCACTATAAAATAATATTTGTTTGAAATCTCACAAGAAGTCGCAAAACTCAGAATGTTTAAATATACCCTCGGAGGTGCTCATACACAGCCAATTTATTGAAATCTATCAAAATCAGAATATTCTGAATTTGCTTTGGTTGGATGGTTTGTGGGCCTACACGTCCACTTCAATTGTATAGGCCGGTCACGGGTGGAGAGGCTAGTCCAGTACAAGGTGGGAAAAGCAAGGCAAGATTGAGAAAACGTCACTTCCATTTGTGCCTTGCGAGATACAGCACAAGGTGGGAAAAGGTAGGCAAGATCGAGAAAACATGGTGTGTAAAGGTAAGCAAGATTGAGAAATCGATACTTCCATTCGTGCCTTGTGAGATACAGCATCTTAGCAAGATACCCCCTATAACATCTATCAGCACCAAACTACAGTCACCACACCGGAGAACAGTTAGGCTGACCTTATACACCAAGTCGTAACATTGGAGGGGTTCCAAGAGCAAGTCTGTTGTTTGCATTAAAGTCGATTGTAGGAACTGGG